AGTCCACAACTGAAGATACAAGTAAAGCAAGCACACCCCTCTAATATACAGGCTGCAATGGCCAGAGCTCTTGAATTCGAACCCTATGTTAAGTCCAGCACAGAGGTACCAAGGTTGGTACAGTCATCAGGACTCAAGGCCAGAAAAGGGCAGCTTTCAAAGAGGTTTGAGGAACTTTGCTGGCACTATAATAAACCTGGACACAAGAGAGCTCAATGCTGGCAACTTCAAGACAGGGACAATGCCACGGCAGGAAAGGTTGTTGGAACTGTGGAGAGAAAGGACATATGAGGAGCCAGTGTATGAAGAATATTACCAATAAGTCAGCCTCGGGGAAACCAGTAGTGGTTGCTGTTGAGGCATGCCCACCAACCCCAATCGTGAAAGCCCCAACAGCTAGGTGTAAAATGCCAAGCACACATAGTGTCTATGTGACAGGAAAGCTGGATGGCCAAAGGTGCAACTTTGTCATAGATTCTGCTTCTCAGTAAACCCTTGTGAGTATCAAGGTGCTGGATCACAAAGCAGTACCAGAAGTCATACAGAAGCTCTGTGGTGTGGCAGGACATTCTGCAAGGTTGTAGGGACCAGTGTGGGTAACTTTTGAGCTCATAGGCATGAAGAACAGACACAAAGTATACTTGGCTGACATTGAAGACGAATGCATATTAGGGTTGGACTACTTACTACCAAGAAAGTTTGTAATTAATTTTGATAAAATGATGTTTGGGAACAACAAAGACCAAATTCCGATAATTGTTAAAAAAGAGATTGGACTAACCAGGCGTCATCAAACTGAAGTCAAAGTGACTGAAGGAGTTGATGGTGGTGAAGTGGAACCAGGTATAGATATTAAAGCAGAGCAGGAGAAAGATCAAGATTTGAAGCCAATAATTGATTTTCTAAAATCAAGTGTTTTGCACCCTGCTTGGGAGAAAGTGTCAAGTCTAAGCCCTGTGACAAAGAACTATTGGGGACAATGGGACCAGTTGAAGCTTGAAGATGGTATTCTTCTCCAAAGATAGGAAACTGCAGATGGGAAAGTGATTATCTGGCAAACGGTTATACCGAGAAAGTTATGGGAAGTTGTGTTGCGTCAATCCCATGATAGTTTAACAGCAGGACATCTTGGAGTTAAGAATACATTGAGTCACCTACGACAAAGATTTTACTGGATAGGTATGAGGCAAGATGTGGAAGAATGGTGCAGGACATGCAGTACATGTTGTGCTAAAAGGGGACCCAAGTATAAGGGACGTGCTCCGATGAAGTTATATCAAGTTGGCGCACCAATGCAAAGAGTGGCTGTTGACATTGCTGGTCCTTTGCCCCAAACTCGTGCTGGAAACAAGTACATTTGTGTGGTGATGGATTATTTCACCAAGTGGCCAGAAGCATATGCAATACC